CGAATCGATTATTTATCGGTGAGAAGCTTAATCGATGCCAGACTGTGATAACGTCAAATTATCAGCCACTGTTTTAGGCAAACTCTTTGCATTCAGTCCAATTACTTCTCAATTTTTTCAGTCACATGTAGGACCTCATTTTTTTCTTTTTTGAGCTTATACGCCAATACAATTGTGTTAACCACTTAGAAAAACAATATTGACGCAGAACAAGCCTTTTTTCGAAATTTGATATTCTATTGCTTCTGTAAAGACATCATCAAACTCTGAAAATTTCCAAAATTCTAACTATTTCCCATATTTGCGCATCTTATCACCTTTGATGCCTCTGTATCCAAAATGTTTAGTGCTATACATTTAGAGGTGATGACTCAGAAAATTTTTGATAGCTTCACAAAAACTTTATACTTTCCTTTTTGCGTCAATGATCAAGAATTTACTTTCTGGGAAAAAAGGCCCTTTCGCCAAAATTGCGGTACAAAAATTTCTCAGACACTTCCTATTTTCAAATGATTTAATAGTAATTTGGTTTTTTGTAAATTCCAAAACCTTTTCCAGAGACCTATTTCTTTCTCTCTCCTAGATTTACTAATGATATTGCCCGCCTGAATTTTTCATGATAGAACTCAGGGCTAGGAACTTCTACTCACATTTGATTTTTTTCTAAAGTTTCAGACACTTCCAATCATTTTGATCTAAAAATAGAGCTTGCGTGATTTTTACTGCCTCTTCCCTCACTATGGTCCGCTAGCTCAATAGCTGAAAGAATGAAAAAAACTAATTTATAATCGCCAATAAATTCTCTGATATTCTTCGAAAATAAATCACTAAAAAGCCCTAATGATTCGGAAAGTTTGAAAACCTTACCGAGATCTGCATCCGCATTCAGTAATGCTGCTTGAGCAAAAGTATTCCAATCTACTAGATCTCTTGTGTAGTCACAGATTCGCCAAGCATACATCCATCTGCAAAAAATAAGACAATAACAAAAAAATTTGACAAATCCTACATTTTTTCAAAATAAAGCGTGTACACTCTAGTTGCTTTATTTCTCTCAAAACATCATGCGATCTTGTTTTCGGGGAAGAAAGGAGGTCCCAAAATAAATTAAACTGTAAATTATGACCAACTATTCAAATAATACGTATCTATAAATTCTTGGAATCGTGCTCATATCTCCACTTGTATTGTCTATTTTAATTTTGATTTTTGGATTGTTTTTGCCGTTATAATTTCACACTGCCAAAGGTGCTTTCAGATGTAGTTACTTTACAGGAGATAATCAATATATCGATCGATCTTGGTTTTGATGCTGCTGCTACTGTTCTCGCTGGTAGCCTTGGTCAACGCTGATTCCAAGAAACTTGCTTTGATAGAATCGTTCACTTTCAAGTCAGCAGGTGATACTGGAATTACCTGTCAAGCTGTTCAGCAAGTATACGTGAGTTGAAATCAATATTGAATAAATTCAAATAAATCCACAATTCAAGCTTGAAATTCAAAATCAAGTGTCAAAAAAGAAAGCAAAAATTTTAATTCTATCTAACTTCAGATTGAATCTGTCACTCCTGTACCATTTATATGCGCAGGAGATATCAAGGATGCTGTCAAAGGAATGTCAATAGGTGTACAGGTATTTGTCATGCTTACTATCAGATTTTGAAAAATT